GTTGTTGTTGTATGATAGCAAGTGATTTAATTAGCCTTTTCTTCGTTGATCTTTCGTAATCGGTGTGAAATTCAGATATTCTTTGTATCATCATAGATTCAATCTCAGTGTAATTCATTCTCTACAATGAGGAAAAAATAAAGCAATCATTAGTATTTAGATCACGCCATTTTCATTAAACCTTACAATGCATTCGATATCACACACGCATCCTTTCACCTCGCCTACCCGTCGCCATATTTCCCTCCCCTCCCTTTCCCTCCCCCCCCTCCCCCCCTCCCTTCCCTCCCTCCCCTCCCCTCCCCCTCCCTTTCCCTCCCTCCCCTCCCCCCTCCCTTCCCTCCCTCCCCTCCCCTCCCCCTCCCTTCCCTCCCTCCCCTCCTTTCCTCCCCTACCTTCCCCTCCCTCCCCGCCTTCCCTGGCAGCTCGACCCTCCCACCCCCTCCCCACCTTTGAGACCGTCGGGGAACTCCTGCTTGAAGACCTGCGTGCCGTCGCCGTAGGTCCTGCTGGCGAAGATGACCGTGGTGCCCGCCTGCGTCCGCGTCCACTCCGCGGCCTCATAGAAGGCGCCCAGGGCGTCCTCGCCGGCGCGCTCGCCGATCGAGGTGTAGGTCAGGCATCTGGAGGAGGAGGGAAGGAGGGGTATGATTAGTACACGTACAGTACACGTGCACACACACACACACACATGCACGCACAAGCACACGCACACACACACACACACACACACATGCACGCACAAGCACACGCACACACACACACACACACACGCGCGCACACACAGACACGCACACACACACACACACACACACACACACACACACACACACACACACACACACACACACACACACACACGCACACACGCACACGGACGTGGACCTGATTATATGCATACGTATAATTATCCATGCACAGATATGCATAGAGATTATGTACATACACATGTAAGCATAAAGAACACTGTACATACAAAGTCACACTAAAGCAAAATTAAATATCTTCAACTTGAGGAAATAATTACCAATAATTAAAATAAAACTTTTGCAGATCCGTTTCGGCACCAACGAATGCTCAATAACTTGTAAAAAACAACAAACTTAATTTTCTGAACGTTTGGCAATCGTACTCACGCTTACCCTAGTATCAATCTTTTAAGTGGAAAAGAACAAGACGGCAATCAGTTCTTAAAAAAAAAAAAAACGTGAAGAAAATATAAAAAATATAAAAAAGAAACAAACAGAAGTATGAAAAAAAAAAACATAAAAACAGAAAAGAAAAAAAGAAAAATTTGAAAAGAATAAGGAAGAGAAAATAGATATTGAAGAAAGAAAGAAAAAGAAAAGACAAGTAAAATGACTTTCAGCTTAAAACATTCACATTTTCGACAACCTCACGCAGTCAAGTGTCGTTTACCAATAGGCTCGTTATTCGCGCGCCAGCCTCTTGGTCGTGACTTTGACCTCCCCATTATGCGTGTGCCTTGGAAGTTACTACTAACACGTCAGGCTAAGTTAGCGAAATTCATGCCTTGCTATCTCTGTGTGACTTTAGAACGTTGGGGGAAAAAAGTGGCATATTTGTCCCATAAGTGGTTGTATTTTAACCACTGCGCGTTTTGGATGCGGCATGATAAACCTATGCTATTTTGTTGGTGCCGTTAGAGCGATACTACATTGTCGCTGAAAAAACATAGTACTGTTTAAACTTTTTGTATAAGTTCATCGTGAAACCGCTAATAATCTAATATTATTAAGATATAATGTAAATGAAAAAGAGAGAGAGAGAAGAGAAGAGAAGAGAGATAGATAGAGAGATAGATAGAGAAAGAGAGAGATAGAGAGAGGGAGTGGGGGAGAGAGAGAGAGAGAGAGAGAGAGAGAGAGAGAGAGAGAGAAGAGAAGAGAAGAGAAGAGAAGAGAAGAGAGAGAAGAGAAGAGAGAGAGAAGAGAAGAGAAGAGGAGAGAAGAGAGAGAGAGTGAAAGAAGAGAGAGTGAAAGAAGAGAGAGAGTGAAAGAAGAGAGAGAGAAAGAAGAGAGAGAGAAAGAAGAGAGAGAGAGAGAGAGAGAGAGAGAGAGAGAGAGAGAGAGAATTTTATATCAATAGATCAAAAACACACACATGCATATATATATATATATATATATATATATATATATATATATATATATATATATATAGACACACACATACACACACACCCTAATTTCTCAATAAAAGACACCCAGCATAGCAGGCCACCAACAGCGGCTGGCTGTTGGTGGCCTGCAACAAGTGAGTGTGAGTGAGCGAGCGAGAGAGGTGGAGGGAGAGACAGCGACAGGCAGACACAGAAAGAAAGAGTTTATAACAGACTGGCACCTATAACACCTACGCCACGGCCGACATCGCAATTAGTCAGGCAGGTGACTCAGCCTGATCTGTCGTTAGTCGAGCTCGCTTCTTCTTCTGGTGTTCTGCCTGGCGGCAGGTTTAGCGCCACACACGCCATCCACTCCTGTCTTCGGCCCCCCGCTTTACTTCGCCGTAACTCTCTTTTCCACCGCCATCCTTTGGTTTTCTCCAGTGATCAAGCAGAGTCATTCTTTTGCGGCCTCGTCCTCTTCTTCCTGTTAATCTTCCTTCTATAACGTCTCGCAGCACTCCTTGATGTCGCATTATATGTCCAAGCCACTTTTTCTGCCTTTGATAGATCGTATTAATTAACGATCTTTCTTCTCCTACCCTTTTAAGCACTTCTTCATTGCTGACATGCTCCGTCCAGCTAATCTCTAGAATTCTTCGCCATATCCACATTTCCATACTTTCTAGTCTTTTGATGTCACTCTTCTTCAATGTCACAGTCTCTGCGCCATACAATAAAACACTCCACACTAAGGTCTTAACTAGTCGTTTCTTAGTTGTTGTCTTCAACTTCGATGTCATCAGTTCTTTCCTATTATTAAACGCAGTTTTTGCCATCCCAATTCTTGTTCTAATCTCTTTATCACAGTAGCCATCCTCTGTCAGCCAGCTCCCAAGGCATTTGGAGCTGTTGACCTGTTCAAGTTCCTCCCCATTCAACATGATCTTGACATTACCATCATTTCTTTTACTAATTTTCATTACCTTTTTCTTTACATTTATTTTCATTCCGAACTCCTCTACTACGTTGTTTAACCGGTCCATGATTTTTTGCAAGCCATTTTCGGAATCTGCTATCATTGCTTGGTCGTCAGCAAACCTTACGGCCTTCACTAGGTGTCCACCAACTTTTACCCCTTCTTCACATTCCTGCAGCGATCTTGCAACCATAATCACTGCAAAGATGTTAAATAATGACGGAGACATGAGACATCCTTGTCGTACCCCTCTCCCAAACTATGCTGGTTCAGACTCTCCATTACTAGTTCGTATACTGTCGCCGTTTGTCCCATATATAATTCGCATATCAACTTCCGATCTCTACAATCTACTCCCACGTTCTTCAAAATTTCCATTAGTTTTATCCAGCTTACTCGGTCAAAAGCCTTCTCAAAGTCGACGAATGCCACGTACAATTCTTGATTGTGTTCAATACTTCTTTCTCCTATTATTCTCAATACCGCAATCGCTTCTCTCGTGCCTCTTCCCATTACAAAACCAAACTGGTCTTGCCCAATCACGCTTCTGATCTTTCCCTCAAGTCTTCTAGTTAGAATCTTTAGTAATATCTTTGACGCGTGTGGTATCAAACTAATTGTTCGATGTTCCTAACCTAACCTAAATTTTAAGCTAACCGAAAACTTAACCTCATCTAAGCTAAGCTAAGCTAATCTAATCTAAGCTAACCTAAAACCTAACCTCACGCAAGCTAACCTAAAACCTAATCTCACCTAAGCTAACTTAAAACCTAACCTAAACTAATCTAATCTAAAACCTAACCTCACCTAAGCTAATCTACCCTAACCCAAGCTAATCTAGTCAAACCTAAAACTTAAGCTAAACAAAAGCCTAGCCTTACCTAAGCTAACCTACCCTAACTTAAGTTCATCTAATCTAACCTAAAACCTAAGCTAACCTTTACAACAGAGGACCGAGAGGGGGAGTCATACCTCATTTACAGTGTCCACAGTCGTTATCATAACTTTTTTTAAAAAATAATATCTTCTGATTATTATTAGCTTTGTTGTGTGTGAGTGTGTGTGTGTTTGTGTTATATATATATATATATATATATATATATATATATATATATATATATATACATATATATATATATACATACATACATACACACACACACACACATATATATATATATATATATATATATATATATATATATATATATATATATATATATATATATATACATACATACATACACACACACACACACACATATATATATATATATATATATATATATATATATATATATATATATATATATAACCTGTTTATGGAACTTTTATATGTAACATTTTGTTCAATCTTATTATTATTTATAATTGAATTATATGACAGTCTCGCCCGCGTACGAATTGCTTATTGGATAGTTAACTAGTTTCTTAGTATGCCGGTAAGCTTTCACAAAAAAAAGTTCCGGATGGAGTAAACTTTAAATAATTATTGTTTTTTTGTTCATGGTGTAGCAAGTACTTAATTTTGAAGATGGACAGGATCTGCATACAGGCCAAGGGCTAAGTTAAAGGATTCATCACTAATGGCGATTGATCATAAAATTTAAGCTTGTTAGAAATTGCGGTATAAATATGCAAGGGTTGTCATCTTAAAGGAATTATTTGGCTGTAGTTTGAGACAGATTTAACGTCATGTACTGATTCAACTTCCATCTCTATATCAGCTTGTTCATCTCTCTAAAAAAAATAAAGATAAAATAAAAACTCCCCGTGCATATAACTTTCTTTAAACATCTTCATCGAAGCGTTAAATTGATAAATATAGTTTAAGCTATTTTTAATCAGCTCACGACATAGAAATAATCTATGTTCATTCTATCCAAGAAATTCTGG